AGGATGGGGGGAAGGGGGCTGGATATCCCAAGCACCAGATACGATTTTAAAATATTGCAAATAAAGAATTCGTTGAGAGGGGGGAAAATAAAACATGAATAAAACTTTAGATTTGGCCAAAATATAGAAAGCTTAAAGCAGATTTACAGTGTTAAATTGGCAATATTTCTGAAGGCACAAGTTCAGATTCCTCAGGCGTTTTGCCTTGTGAATACTAACAAATCTGTAAATTCTTACAGCATGTTGTGCTGAAAAAAAAAGGAATTAATATAAGCCACTGGTGCACTTTTCAGTTCTTTCTGGGGATCTGGTGAAGCAATACAGGGATGAGCCCAGAGCAGCCGGTGTCCCAGATAACAGGTCTGTGTGCATTGGACTTACCAGTGAGATTTTCAGCAGAGAGTAAAGAATTTGTCTCCCACTACTTCAACTGATTCAGCAACCTGAGCTGCATAAAGTCATAGTGTGTCACAAATGTATGTTCATGTGCAGTTGTCAACTGATCCTAATTATCACCTATTAAAAGAACTTTTTATTAAGAGTTTTCCCTCATGAGAGTGATGTGAGAAAATGAAATGCTGAGAATTAACAAAGCCTTATTGTTCTGGGTAGCTCAGGAACTGTTCATATACTAATGACATGCACAGTAAATACATCATGTCCTCATCTGACCTAGTGTGAAAGTTTGGGGTTTTTTTAATCCAGTTACTTGTGTTTAAAGATAAAGGGGTTTTTTATTATTATGAGAAAACTAAAACAAAAAAATGCTTGTTTAATTTTTTTCCTTTTTTTTTTTTTTTTGGTTTTGCATCTTATTACAAGCTGCACTGGATTTGTATTTTCAACTCTGTTACATTGGTATCTCCAGCCCCCTTTTTGTGGTGTCTTTTAATTTTCTCCAAGATTCACTGTTTGTGTATATGTGCTCTAGTGAACTCGTGAAGAAACTGGGATCAGCAGCACTGGATTGTAAAATACTGTACTGAAATTCATTGTCGATATTTCCTTGCGTTGTAATTTCAAATACTCAGGTAACTGTAACAGTATCTCCGTAAGTCAAATACTTTTATAAAACTACTTAAAGAACTGGTAGTTCTGGTCGTCCTTCCTGGTGTGTGATGGAACATCTGCGTGCAGATGAATTGTCTGGGGTCGGGCTGCCTCGGGTTGTCCTTCCCTTCTTTGGGAATGTTTCTTTCCTGAGACCTCTGTTGTGGGTTGCACTGGACATTTATTAAGAGCTTTTGGACACGATTCCCGTGGATGCTGCCCTGCAGAGCCAGTGAGGGACATGGGCTGGAGAAAGGTTCTGCACGAGCCACAGCTGTAACATTTCCTTATGGCACTGCTGTAGGGATAACGAAAAGGAGGAATGACACTGCAAGTGCTCGGGATTGACAGTGTGCCACAAAGGAGGAGGGGAAATCCAGTGAGCCCCACCAGGTTTGTGGTGTCCCTGAGCCTCCCTGAAGGGAGAACTGGCCTTCACATTCTCCCTGTCATCAGGCGCCTCTCCTGCTGGCCATGACCTTTCCCAGATAACTGAAATGGGGTTTGCAGTGACATTCCAGCTCCTCTGGGCTAACAGGAACATCCCATCAGGTATCAGGGACTTGGTTATGTCCAGTTTGGTCAAATGGTCCCTGAACAGGTCATCCTGCCTGATATTCCTTGCTGCAGGCCTTCCCACAGGGCTCTCCCTTGGCTGACTTTCCCAGGTGTTCCCACAGGCTGGCCTAACACAGTCTTGGCAGTGGCAGCAAATCCCAAGGATGACTTTCTGTGCCAGGTAAATACAATAGCAATTCCCTTTTTCTGCAGCTGTCATGTTGGTTTGGAGTTGCTTCCTCCAGGGCTTGGATGGGAACCACTTAACAGCATCCTATAGTAAGCTGTGGAAACTGGATGATCATCAGGGTCCCCTTCCAACCCAAACCATTCTGCGATTCTATGATAAGGGACATGGGGAGTTTCCCCCCTCCCCTGGCTGCATCTCCTCAGCTGCTGCCAGAGCCCCTCAGGACAGGGGCAGGGTGGGGAAGGCCAGTCCAAGGCACAGTACACCCCAAATTCCTGGGATCTGCACCCCAAAACCCTGGGACGGTCCTGCCAGGCCCTGAGGGTGCCCACACCTCCTGCCCCTGCCAGGGAGAAGGGATGAGCACTCTGCACCCCCGGGGGAGGGATCGGGGATGGGCCACAGTCTGGTGGCAAAACCAAGTAACGCCCTGAAGAACTGCATCCCCCATCACCCCAGCTGTGTCCTACACACACAGCACCAGCACTGGGCACTTGTCCTCGGGCTCTGCTTGAAACGAACCCTACAATGGTTTGGGTTGGACGGACCTTAAAGTTATCATGAATTCCAACCCCCTGCCATGGGGACACCTTCCACCAGCCCAGGTCGCTCCAAGCCCCATCCAACCTGGCCTTGGACACTTCCAGGGATCCAGGGGCAGCCACAGCTTCTCTGGGCAACCTGTGCCAGGGCCTGCCCACCCTCAAGGGGAAGGATTTTCTCCTCTGTCAGCACGAAGCCATTCCCCTTGTCCTGTCACTCCGGGCTCCTGGAAACAGTCTCTCCCCATCTTTGTTTCCTCCAGGTCCTGGAAGGCTGGAGGTTATTTTAGAGGTTATTTGTGGGATCACTGACGTCCCCAGCACGGGATGGAGGACCCACTGGGCCGCGGGGAGCGGCGGCGCCGGGGGATTGGGGTGTATTTGCGGGTGTTTGGGGGGTTCTGTGGGATGCTGGAGGATGTT